TTTTACGTTAGACTAGTCTTCTTGCTCATTATGTGGTTTTTTTTCTTTTTTGTTTTCTTATCCATTGTTTTTGATCAATTATTTTTTTTATTTTTTTTGTATTACTTGTTTTCTTGGCTTTTAGTTCTTTTTGTTTTACCCCCCTCTCCTTATCTTACCCTTAGTAAATTCTGCGATTTAAAGGAATATGAAGAAGAGAGAAAGCCATTATGGTGTGGCAATTAGGCTAGTTTAACATAAGCCTTCTAATCATAAAATTTTAGATTAGTGCAGTAGGTTGCATTTGGGCATCTATAAGATAGTCAGATCTTTAAAGAAAGCCAGGTGATGTCAGACTTGCAAATTAGGAGTAAACAAATATATTTTAGATGTATTTTGAATCTTAATAAAGTACTGGCGAAGCTGCCTAAGAGTCAAAAAAAAAAAAAAATACTATTAATACAATTATATATATATATATATATTATTTTATGCAAAAAAAAAACATTTTCATAAATTCATTAAATTATTTTATATTTTTAATTATACGTATACTCTAAAGCCTTGCGGAAATATGACAAATTATTTTATAAATTAAATTCATATAACAAATATAAAATATACAATAATGCTTAATAATATAAATAATAACTAAAAGCTAAATGTTATTTATTTTTCGAGTTTATAGTCTATAAACTTAAACTCGGAAGAGTTAGAGTTAACCTCTATTAATCAAGACAAAATAAAAAAATTCTTATCAAACTAAATATATTATTTTAGCATTGTTTAAAATAATTTTATATAAGACTTTTAATTTTGTAATATATCTTGCTAAACATTTTTTTATTAGGGCGTAATTTGGGTATTGATCGGTCCAAAGATGATATTGACTCATATTACTGGCCAGACTGCCTAGGTAGCTTCTTTCTATAAAACTCTTCACCTTTAAAATTTGAAATTGACCAACACGTGATCGTCACTATTCATTGAATAGACCAAGGAACACAAAATAGCCGAATGCATATTTCTCACCATTATCCAGCATATGATTATTGTGCTTATTAGGTGATTTCATAATATTCAGTGTTATACATATACAGAAATGATCTATTTCTATTAGGGCTGAAGGGCATATACGAAATCCTGCTTCGTCGGCAAGTTCAAGCAACTCTTGCTTACAAAAAATGATACCAACATATAGAATTAACTAGAGATGGATAAAATGCGTATTCTGGGTGCCATTCTCATTATGCAGATTTGAATGATATGCATGATGCACGTGATTTTACGAGAGTACTCTATCTGCTATTCATTCTAACACTTTCGTTAGAGTTACGGGATCGAGATTATCATCACGATTATCGTTTTATGTAGTACGAGAACTTAAATGCGTATCATGCGTACGTATGCATGGCGTATTTTCTGCCCATTACTATCTCTAGTTCAGGGATATTATAGATACATTCGGTTCGGAAGGGAAGCAAGCTTAAAACAAATTAAATAATAATATAAAGATAAGAAATAAAGTATAGATGCATATCATATGAATAATGGGCATGAACATAACACAATTTCGACACAACAAGACACACGTGAGCAAGTGAAGCCCTTAAAAATGATGTAATGTCAAAACAGTGTTTGTTAAATCATATGCCTCGACATCAATGGATCAAAAAAAAGAAACTGCCTAACTAAGAGCATACAATCACAATAAAACATACAGGGCATCTAAACCTTTTGAATATTCTGATTATATCATTGTCTATTTAACGGTTGGCCTGATCCGAGTAGTCAGGAAACCACCAATTCTCACTCTTCCTGCTAAATTACTGGAGTATAACATCGTTTCAGTTTGTCAAATTTATTCGACGGACGTAAAGTCTGTTCCGACACCGAGATTAATCCAATCACATGATTAATGATGTTCGATGAATCTATGATTATTAGCCAATGGTGAATTGTGATTTATGTAACATAGCACAAAGCGGCAGGTTTGCCAAAAATTGATAATTTTTTAAAAAATCCGCATAAGAAATCTTGTGTACTAACGAAAAAGTTTTTCCTTTGAAATTTTACTATATAAATCACTAACTTCTAACCTAATCTAAGCACAAATCTAAACACTAACACTAACCCTAACTTAAATGAATTTTTTGTACACCATCACGTTATTACAGTGTTTCATCAATTCGTGTAATTGTTATGGTATAACGACCGAGTGCCGCTCCAAGAGAAAGTAAAATTTAAAAAATTCGAAAAGAATTTTTCCTTAGTAGCACCAAACACAATATCTACAATAGCAACATATATATATATCATACTCATCCACTTTTGTTTTTATGAATGATGCACAAATGGTACAACGATAAAAAAGAATACGGGACTAAAGACGAAATACGTAAGTGATGGCGCTAATAAAAATATGAACAATGAAATTAAAAAGAAAAGAAAAAAAAGTAAAAAATCAAATACTTAAAAAGACAAAGAAAAACACTGTAGATAAACAAAAAAAAAGAGAAAATGAATAAATAAAAAGTTAAAGCGAATATAAAAAAAAGTAAATAAAAAATAAAATAATTTAAGAATTAAAAATTAAAAAACGTACAAAGAGTACAAAAAATTATAAAAAATAAAAAAAGGCGAAACAAAAAGCACCAAAAAGAACACCGACATATACGTACCATTAAAACAAATAGATCATATACCTCTTTATATAACAGTATAATGATCATAGTAAAATTTTCTATGTCGCTATTTCAACTTTTGGGGTCTTTGCTTTGAAAATTGCCTTTGAGATTTGCCGCGTACAGTACTTATAGGTCAATCATTTATTAATTAATAATATACATATTTAGCCATCTAAATCAAATACCTCTTCGAGAAATTCTAAAGAGGAGGGCTATACATGATGTACACAAGAAGCAAAAAATCCAGCTTGTTATGAACGTTACATCTTTACTAAAGAAATATTATATAGAACTCATCTCTTCCTTTCTCTTCTCAGGCTTCTCGAGATATTTATTCATTCTAATTGGTTACAATATATGCATATATTTAGATCTCATATAATGCATTAAATATGGTTAAATTTAATCTGCCGTTTAACAATGAATCTAATATCTTATACATGCTAAATTTGTTCACTCAATTATGCTTTATATAGGATTGGTCCAAATTTAATAGATTCTGGGATCTGCAAAACCGGATCAATTAAATCAAAGGCCAAGTGATTCAGTCATTGTTAATGTTTTTTGAATGAAGAAACTAAAATAGTTTAGATAGATCAAAAGAATTATTATGAAGTTTTTCTATTTTGTTAGAACTAGTAAGTTATAGTAATTAAGACAAAAGGCAAAATTCAAAACAAGGATTAAAAATTAAAAGTATTAGTAAATAAAGACGTTATATTTATTTAAAATGCAGGATTTTTCATTATATAAAAGTATGTGATCTGTTTCATAAATATATATATAATTTTTTTTTTTTGTATAGCTAGGCTTGAACTGTTAATATAGTTTTATTCTAAATATATATTTTATATTTATATATATAAAAACTCCAACGGTATATAATAAAAAAAGTTTTTAATAGAACATATAAGATTTGTAATATTTTTTAACCTAAAATGAAAAAATTTAAGTTCATATACTATACGTACAGTGTTTTTATCCACAGCAGCAAATAAAAATATTTAGAATAGCAGTTTTTTTTTCCCAATTATGCGTATAATTCTACGCAGCTTTGCATAACATTTAGATTTTGGGGGCTGCACAGTCCCGTAGAAAATTCGCATGATGGTCACTCTTTAATATATATTTTTATATTACTATATTTATTTACTACGCTAAGGCTTTTGATTTATTCTTATTTATAATCTTAAACTTACGCAGTATCCTATATACCAAAAAATTATTAAGTGTATTTTGATCTTGTTTATATTGTTAGAAAAATTAATAGAAAACTGTTTTAAAATCTTTTTTAAAAACTTTTTAAAAACTTAAAATCTTATAAGAATCACAAGTAAAAAATGCATTAGTACTTTTTGAATAATTACAAATCACACCGAATCAAAAGCCACATTCACTCAATATAATTACTTTAAAAAATACTGTTTGTTTGCTTTAACAAATAATTAGTAATATCGTAATGTTTATATCTTGTGTTCGAAAGTCCACATGCAAGGGATAGTTATAAAGTAATATCATTGGCTTAAATTTTTGCATGATCAAAAATTCACACATGCAAAGGGTGTGAAATAAAGATTTTTGTATCACGGATAGTATTACAGATTATTTTTTTTTGTAACAAATTATTTGTATATAAATTAAAATATATAAGACTAATATGTAAAAAAATAAAAGTACACGAATTTCCCAAGTGTGAACGTACGACTAAATTACTTATGTAGTTAATAACTAATAATTAAAAGGGAATCGAAATTCCTTATAATTATCTATCATTTAATGCAAGTTGGCGCACAAAACTGTGTAATTTATATACTTTACAAAAAAATATGTACAAAGCGCAGTTTGAAGGAATCATTGTTGAACACGTATATAATAAAAAGAAATTAGAATAGGTCTTGGTCAGTGCAACATCATTATTATGCGGAGAAATAAAGACTACTACTTCCAGTAGTTTGTATATCGTGTACGACAATGTATTATGAAATACATATGCATAACAAATCAACAGTAGAAAAACTAAAAGATTTTAATTCTGCATAGAAAGACATGAAACAAAGAAGGTAAGATGCAAGTTTATGCAAAACATATACGGGGGTACACATTCACAAAAAAAAACAAGCATTTATTTAGAATATATTTCGTTACTCAAATCGCAGTTCCGGACTTTCACTGCGTCTTGACCTTTTTATATTAAGGTCTCGTAAAAAAAGTTTTTTGATAATAATTCACCACATATTAGTATATATATTCAAAAGTTCATAAAAGTAATAGTTCATTTTTTATTATTATTACAGAATACTCGAGGAAATAAAGGAATTTCTTATTATATCTGAAATGACGCCATCAAGTTCAGTCAGCTTTCGAGATTTTATCTCTAAACCTTCTTCAAAACGGTGTTCTCGAATATCTATAGCGAGTTCAAGTTCAAGTAGAAGTGCTCGAATTTTTGATGAACAATTACGAAGATTAAGTCCAACATCACATTATCATCCAAAAATTGAGGATCCTATAAGATCGATTGTAAATGTTTTATTCTCGATATTTTTACAAGAACAACTTAAATGTACTTCTCATAAAAAATTAAAAAGTATTCTCTTAAAATCAATTGAAAATTATCGAGTAGAACCAAGTCAAATATTTCAATGGTTATTTAATAATCAAAATACTTACCTTTATAAAAGTCTACTTGGCTTCTTTTTAATGGTAGGAATTGGATGTAAAAGAGATAAGAAAAAGGCTTTTTCTTTATATTTTGCTGCTGCAAAAAAGGGTTATTTAATAGCTCAAGAAATGATAGCTGATTGTTATTTCTTTGGACTTGGTACTCATGAGAATGAAGATTTAGCCTTTCTATGGTATAGTAAATGCGCTGAACAAGGAAGTGGTCACGGTTATCATGGACTTGGAATATGTTACGAATATGGTAAAGGTACTGAACGATTTTTACCATTAGCAATTGAATATTATAGAATTTCCGCAATGAAAGGAAATGTTTGGGGAATGATACAATTAGCGAGACGATATCAATTTGGAACTGGGACTCTTAAAAACATTGATAAGGCCATATATTGGTATCAAAGAGCACTTGAGATTGGTTGTGAAAAAGCCAGGCATGAATTAGATGTTTTAATGAATTTACTATCTTCCTCAACAAATTGGCCCGCTTCATCTTCAATGATTTCACTTCGATGTGGTGGTATCATATCAAAAAACGACATCAAACATTTCAAACATGAATAGATATTTTTATCATTCGTTACAAAATTCAACTTTCTTCTATAGAATTTAGCATCTCAGGTATTAGGTGTTAATAGTTAATATGTATAAAGTCACTATAAAAAAAAAGTATCAGGCTCATATAATATTGGTTTCTTCATTTAGACACTGTAGATATAATTTTATTTTCAAAATTATGATAGTGAAACCCCATTTTACTATCATTATGTATAGGAAAATTACTTCTTTCTTTAATTAATTTAATTCGTATTTACATCTTCATACTTAAACATGCAAATTTAATTTTGCACTTTAATTGTATACTTTAATGTTCGAGCTCAATAAAAATTAGGATTGGTTGTGGGCTTTTTCCTAATTGTAAATAGTAATTACCGTAGTCTTTATTATCGGTGGATGGTGGATTGTGGATTTCTTAAATTAAAAAGGATCACTACCGACTTAAATGTAAGAATTTCTCTTTCTTTATTGAAATTAACATTTTTTTATGCTAATGTAATATCTCAAATCATATTTTAGTTTGTTATGATGATCATTAATCGTGAAAGTTCACTACGACATTATACAAATAAAATGTTGGGTAAAGGAACTAAAATTATTAAGGTTGATTTAGCAATTCAACGACAAATTAAATATGCGTAATGACAATAGACATTATAAAATGATGCCAAATTTATATGTATATAATTTAACAAATCCTGTGTAGAAACCTGTAAAATTATAATTTCAATCCTTTTTAGATTCATATAATCTACATACTAGTGCTTTAATCTACAAAAAATTCCTATTATACTTTACAAACAATATCTACGTTATGTACGGTATATTCATTGGAGGAGATATGCAGCATAGAAAATATTGTCCTGCGTGTAAAATTATAATGTAACCATTGTCACAACACAATAAATTTGTAATTTATTAGTAACCTTCATATTCAGTACTTTTCTATTTTTGGATTTTGTGTTCAGGTTTGAAATCGATATGTACTAACGATTTACTAATATTAAAAATCCTTTCACTTTGTTTGCTTTCATTTGTCATACGTATAAAGTTGTGAAATGCGTTGATTTTACTATATTTACTCAATTTGTGTAAAATAATAATTAGTAAAACCCTTTTTCTTGTAATTTTTAAAAGGAACTTTTTTCGGTAATCTTTTCACAATAAGTATTAGAAGATGAAACTGATTGATAACGTATCAAAACCGTAAATTGTATACAATTATTATTCCATGAATGTGATAATTGTGCAATAAACAATTTATAATAATGAGAAATTTTCCTTTTTATTAAATGTCACAGAGCTATTTGTCACACAATAAAACCAATGTTGTGTATTACAATATAGTTAACTGGTAATACAATTCCGACAAGTAACAGAAACTACTACGTAGAATATATAATTGTGGATAAAAAATTGTACAGTATCCGTATAAGAGTCACTCAGGTGAGTCATGACTATTGCCACTAGAGTTAATTTTCTGTAAACACTAATACATATAAATTTAGTGACCTCGGAAATTGATATGTTGTATAACATTGTATTCAGTATCACTTTAAAATAGTAAGTACGTAGGTACGTATGTGCGCTAGAATAAAACCTTGGTATATTTTATAATCTCGAAAATCTTTTTATATCCGGATATTAACTATGCCCTGCAAGATTAATTACGTCCAATAAAAACGAACCTCCATCTAACGCAATTCTGATTAGTTTCCTTGGATTTGAAGTACAGATCAAACTAAATTTGGTTATTTTTTGATTTATACGTATTCGGACAATGAATGCAATGCTCTGCAGTATATGATCAAAATTTGGGGGAAATTTACTATTTATTACTATTACAGACTATGCATTTATATGTAACTAAAAATGATAGCATAGAACGCTAATCGTATATTATCGTCAAAGTTTGGTCCGTAGCGTTAAACCTAAGTTCAATAATTTATTTTTTTAAAAAGTAATTTATCACAATGTAATGAATACTCATTATAAAAATTAGGTTAAAATTCGTTTAAATTTAGTTATAAATCACATGTAAATCAATAAATTCTGAAAAAAATTTTTGGTCTTTCTATTTATATCGATAATATGTCTAACCCATCTTACTCATTATTTAACATTTCGAAGCTTATACCTATATGATGATGCAGCAAACCGGCCATATTAATTAACCCAGCCAAAATCAGCATTACAATTTAGTAGTCAACATTGTCAGATTTTGGGGGTGTTTCATAAAATGCGCTATATTTAGCTAAGGCCGTTCTCAAGAAACTCCCTCATATAATTGGCTAGTGATTGACGACGATCGATGCTTGAGCACTCTTTTTAACTTTCAATCGATTATTCGATTACAAATTATTTAAAACTTTAGTACCAAAGCTTGGCATCTTAAATTTTGTTTCATAAAACTTTTCTTTCGGCTCATCCCTTTAACGAATACTTGAAAATTATAATCTGTGCTAGGTTGGTGATCACGTGGTGATGCTCATAGAACATCAATTAACTAATCCTATTAATAAAAAATTCGAAAGTTTTTTAAAACGGATTTCTCAGTACCTACATGATCAAATTCGGTAAAAAAATTTATTCTAAATCTATAGTATTGTAAAATTAAAATAAGAAAAAAGTACATTGAATTTAGTTTGGTGGTTATCGAGAAACCATCGTTAAAAGTCTTAAGAAACCATAAAATACCGGAAAAAACCTAAAATCAGGTAAAATTTTTCTTTGAAATTTAACAAAGATTCTCGACTACCAACTGTCCAAATTTAATGAACTTTTTTTTTAATTCTATAAACTCAGAATTAAAATAAAAAATATTTGATCGAATTTGAATAGCTGGGTGTTGAGAAATATTCGTTAAATGTTGAAAAAAATCTGGCCGCAGCTTATTTTTTAATGACATATAAACTTTGAACAAAGATTACTCGACACTTACCTGGTAAAATTTGATCAAATTATTTTATTGTAATTTTATGATGTAGAACTAAAATAAAAAAAGATTAATTTATTTGACCAGTAAGTGTGATCTTTGTTCAAAGTTTAGAAGTCATTAAAAAATAAGCTACAGCCAAATTTTTTTTTTAACTTTTAACGAATATTTTTCGACGACCAACTATTAAAATTCGATTAAATCTTTTTATTTTAATTCTATGAGTTAGAATTAAATAAAAGGATTCATCAAATTTGGATCGTTGGTAGTCGAGAAATCTTTGTTTATATTTCAAAGAAAGAAAATTTTACCCGATTTTAGTTTTTTTCCCAAGATATTTTAAGGCTTCTTAAAACTTTTAACGATGATTTCTCGAGAAACACCAAGCTAAATTCAATATATATATATATACTAATTCTACAATACTATAGAATTAAATAAAAAATTTTTACCGAATTTGATCACATAGCTACGAAGAAATCCTCACTAGAAGTTTTAAAAAACTTTCGAATTTTTTAATAGGATTAGATGTTCTACGAACATCGTCACGTGATCACCAACCGAACACAGATTATAATTTATACTACAATAATTAGTATATTTGAAAACACAACTTTATACAAACTCTTTAAAGATTATAAAATAATTATTTATAATAAAATAGATATATGATATAGAAAGTGGTTGCTCTTTTATATTGACAGTATATTAATCGTCGCGGATGATGGTGAAATCGGGCCTTAATTTAAAAATATAAACCCTACTAAAACCCACTTATACTCTTTTATTATAAACTCTATCCCTAAATCCTAGTTCAAATCTAATATATATATATATATATATAAAAATATACCTAAAAATTTTTAAAAATCGTATATTAAATAGGGTTAGATTTCACATCCGTGACATTAATTTTATCGTTTATTACATTAGGAGTTTCTAGTATGAATAGCACTTAATAATTTTTTGATATCGACAACGCCTTCGCTGAAGATTACAAATTATAATATATATATAATAATAAATGAGAGAATATTGACACCGCTATTAAGGATTCCTTGCCTGGGGCACCATCCTGTATAGTAGCACCGTATCCAAGAACACGTAGTTGATTCCACTACGCTATCTGAATGCTTGAGCAATCTCTTTGATTACTCTATCAACGCTAAATTTCAGTCAGTCAGTTCTATGAAAAAAAAGTAGACCAGGTTTTTTGACCTAGGTGATAATCACGATCAATTTTTGACCTAGGTGATAATCATGATCAATTTTTGACCAATTAAATCGTCCGGTAAACTCATCGAAGGAAGCGTTTGAGAACGGCTAAAAATCAACGCGAAAGAAATAATAATCAGTGAATTACTTATCTTAAATCTAAATTAATGCGGATATAATAAAAATAAATAAATAAATTAAATGATAAGTAGGTAACTTACGTTATTTTAATAGAGGTGTGTAGCATATCTTGAGTATTTCGATTAATAAACTATTATTATATCCACAACCTAAATAAATGCAAATATGCAAAATTTAAAAAATTTTGAATGCTGTAAGGCCGTAATTAAAGGTGCTGGTGAAATAAAATTAGGGTGGTGAAATAGTTTTATCATTATTGACGAAACTGGTGTTGAATTGGTAAACCTAGTTTCACCGGCATCTCTAATCGTAATGCAATGCCTTAATGCCATACTTCCTTCCATATAGTATTGATTCTTAAAATGTGCATCATGCTGGTGCTAGTTGTTAAAGATAATAATAAATATAAAAATAATACAGTCAGGGGATTTACCGAATTAGGAAATCTGATTCTAGAATGATCCACGTGCCGGATCTCAGATTTGATTGGTTCGTATATGCCCTTTGGTCAGCATTCTTCGGGAATTTTTTATACACCTGACCCATTATTAAAAACTCACAAAACGATACCTTAATAGACGGTAAAAGACTGCTAGTTTCAATAATCAAAATTAATCAGCGCTGGTTAACTCTTGCCAAAAAGGTGAATGAGACTCAAAAAATTGCAAGATTTTATGCATTTAAGAGGCCAATGTGTGAAAATCCAAGAACTATC